TCCTCAAGTTGATGAGGGTGATGTTCTTTGATCCACCTTGAATGAGTTGAAGGGTCAAGCTAGAGACCATAAACAAGCGCTTCCCGGGAGGCAACCTAGAGGATTCTTAACCCTTTTTATTCCCCTCCTTTCTTTTTCATTTTTTTGTCTTTCTTTGTTATCTTTTAATGTTTTCTTTTGTGTCTTGTCTTTCCTTGTAGGTTTCTATTTGAAAACATGGAGCGGATTAACATTTGGTAAATTCTATTTTATACTACTTTATTCTTTTAAGCTAACCTCCCGGTGAGACCTTTCTTATTTTACTCTTTTACTTCTTCTTTGAGTGCTTAGTTTAGGACTAGTTTAGCAAGAAGTTGGATGGTTCGAGGATGTTTGCTTTTGGTTTTATGAAACCTGGGATCGTTGATGTTGTTATCAAACGATCACTTGTATGACGATTGGGATTTACTTGGATTATATGCCTCGTTTTTGAACCTTTTTTATTTCTTCCTCTTTCTTTTGTTTTGTTTTCCCTTTTGTGTGACAAACATGACTATGACAAGTTGAATTGATTTTGATTTGGAATTTTCTCTTTCATTTGGATTTGTGTGCTTTTCATGATATGTCACTGAATGCTTGTCTTCCTAGTTGATGAGGGATTACACGGTTTGAGAGTGCTTAGGGTTGAGTTAGGAAAATTTTAAGCTAAGGTATAGCACGGTTTAGAACTTTTGAGGACGTTTGAACCCCTAGTTCATGGGAAAGTGGTAAGATGGTGTTGCTCTCTATAGTGGATAGGATTTCCTTTAGTTGGTATTTCCTTACTTCCCATCACTTGTGAGGTCTAATATTGTTCAAGCCTTCATCAATCTTGTTAAGCGGCATTTAGGATCCTTTACTATGCGTATCTTAATCCTTGTGTTGTCCTCTAGCTCCCGAGATCGTTACCAAGCAACTCTAGGGGAAGAAAATGGCACCTTTTTCTCATTTTTCTTTATCTTCTTTTTGTTTTGTTATATATTTTGTTTTTATTTTGCATTTTCTCCTCTTGCTAACCCTTTGAGCCTATTCCCTTTCTCGATTATGAGCCACATTACAAGCCTTATGATCTTTCGTTTCCCTAACCCTTAGTTTTGTGAAGCATTTTTGTTTGAGAGGTTGTTTTGTGTTGTAATGAAGATGAGAAATTCTTAAGCTCTTTGGACCAAGCAAGAAAGTAAATTGTATATATTGTGTGTAATAAAGCAGTCGCATCCAAGAAAAAGCCGTCCATAGTTAAAAAAAGGCAAGGACAACAAATAAGAGATAAAAAAAAGTTTGGTTTCGTTTTCTTCCCTAGTTTAACCATTGAGGACAATGCTTCGTTCAAACTTGGGGACAGTGTTACTTCGTTTTTGTTATATTGAGTGTTGGTGTTGAGTAAGCTTGGGGGAGATGGCATATTGGTATTTTTGTTTGATGTTTGGTGACTTCTTAAGTTTGTTTTTTAGAGAGGGCCCCTCTTTTGCTTCACTTAAGAAATATCACCAAAATTTTCAAATTTTTGCCCCGCCTTGACCCTTAGCCTTACGTTACAACCTTAATAAAGACCCTTTGACTTTAGAGGGGTGAGGTGAAAGACCGGTGGAGGGAGATAAATTTCAACCCTATGGAGAGAGTATGCATAGTTGAGATGTCGGGATGACCTTATGATTCCACATAAAAATTTCTTTTTCCGGTTCCCTCGAGTTATCTTGAGGAGCTAACTAAGGGATGATTTGAAGATAGTGGAGAGAACGTGGACCGTCTTGGTTGGGGCTAGGGTGGACAATGAATTCTCTAGTTCTCTATGCTTAGCTTAGGGTTGTCTGTTTCAACCATGAGCATCTTAGAACGTGTTTTCCCTCATTGAATTGAGAAAGGTGAGAATTTTTTGGTGCATGTCTCTTCTTTTTGAGTCCAAATGGAGTATTTTCCGACCTTGAGCTTGATTGGTTTTTCTAAACCTTGCCATGTTATGTTGGTCATGATTGTGTTTGCATTTTGTGTTTGCTTTTCTTTTTCTTTTTGTGTTTGTTTTGTTTTTTTTCTAGAGTTGTGGGTTAAGCTTTTAGGAAACTACCACGAGAGCACACTCGTCCTCTAGGGCGATCTTGGGGTTTAAAGGGCTTGTCTTTGGTTGCTAAAATTGACTGTGATTCCTACGAAAGTGAGTTAGTGTACATTCTTATCTCCTTTAGTGTCTTATCTTTGCTTGAATAATCCACTTTCCTTCTCTCGTGTTTCATTTTAATTTGCTCGAGGACGAGCAAGAGTATAGCTTTGGGGAGTTTGATAAGTGACTTTTATGTCACTTTTAGTGTATTTTTATGCTTATTTTCCGGTTTAGTTAGTTTCTAATAATTTCCCTAGTTTTACGCTTTATTTCTCTCATTTTTCTTATTTTCCTTATTTGATCTTTATTTTATGTATTTCAGTAGTTTTTAGTAGTTTTTAGCTTATTTTCTTAATTTATTTAAATTCTCTTATTTTCTATGTTTATATTTTAAGTTTTTAGTTCGTGTTATATAATAGTAAAACAAAATATGACGAGTGAGATGTATGTCACTCTTAGGAAGTAGTTTTAGAGTCATTTTCGTGTTTATTTTATCTTATTTTCCCTTTCATTCTCTTGTTTTCTCTTTAATAACATTTCTTGTTTATTTGGTAATTTTGTCGTGTTTTAGTTCTTTTCGTAGTTTTTATTAGAATTAGTTTATTTTCGTATTTTATTTGCTTTTGATTTGTTATATTTCCTTCTTTATTTTTCCTTGAAAATATTCTAATTTACTTTTATTTATTTTAATTAGTTTTGAGTCTATTTTATAGTTTTATTCGCTTGTATAGTTTTTGTTTAATTTTTGTTAGTTTTAGTTTTATTTATCTTATTTTTATTATAGTTTATTTATTTCTATTTTATTTATTTTATTTATTCTTTGTCCCAATTCTTATCTCGGTTTTGTGTGTAGGTGTTTGGGTTTCATGTCAAGTGAGTTCAGAGCGCGGGGACGAGTCAAAGTGTACACATTTCTTTGCTAGCTGCTGACTGCTGCCACCTCCTATCCTACACCACTCTCTCCCCCTCTAATCTTTCTTATCCTTCACCACACCAAAACAGCAACAATGCTGCAGCCACCAGCAAATTCCCCTTCACCAATTCGCACTAGCAGCCCACCAATAACCCCATATCAGCCACCAATTCACCTTCAGCCACCTAAACCAAACCATAGCAACCATTGCAGCTACGCACCTAAACTACCATCACCCACTAATTCCACTCACCCTCACAACACCACCCAATCCGCAATTAACCGCACCTGACCACCAACTCACCACCCGCATCTTCGCGTAACCACCAGCCCACACCAATCATCCACCTGCTGCTCACCCTTCGCCAATTCCCAATCTTTCCCCTGCTCCCTCTTCACGCAACAACAACAACCACTATCACCCACCAAGTCATGCACCCAACAACCAGAACCCCTTGCTGCCACCAGTCCACCGCAATTACTCACCCCGATTCCGCTATTTCTGCCAAAAAATCAGAGCAAATGGCAAATTAATCGAGTTCGGGCAATCGTTGAAGAGTTCGGTCGAAGTAAAAGTGCAAATTCAATCAGAAACTTTTGAACTTTTCTTATTTGATTAGGTGTGGTCAAACACACCCATGGATCGACCAAACCAACCCCGTAGGTCGGTCGAACACACCATTGGTTCGATTGAACCACCTCACGAGCTTCTCACGTGGTTGTTTTGAAGATCGAACGGTCTTGATTGATGTTTAATGAAAGGCGATGGTGATGAACGCTGTTGATTTAATGATGATGATTGATGATTGAATATGGTGAGATGGGAAATAGAAGATTAAAACCTCATCAAAGCAGCCACCGAAAATAGAAGAGGAAATGGGGGGGGGGGGGGGGGGGGGGGGGGGGTGGGGGGTCTGATGTTTTTTTTAATGGGTTTTTGTTTTTGTTTTTGTTTTTGTTTTTGTTTTCCTTTTCGTTTTATTTTAATTACTCTTTTTCCTTTATCTTTTACTTTCTTTCTATAATTCTTTATTGTTTCCTCTTTTTATTTATTTATTTATCTTTATTTTAATTTTTTTTATTAGCTTAGTATAAGTACTCATTTTTTAGGGTAATTAGAGGACAAAATCTATTATGCTTTTTTCTTAATTAGTTTTAGGGGAGTTTATCTCTGTTAGAGTTAGATTAGATAATTTTTAGAGAGAGAAAGTAGATTATTGCTCAATTTTCTTCATTGTATTCAACTTTTGGTCAAGTTTAATTTAATCTTCAATCAAGCAATATTTTCAAGTTTTCATCTTTAATCAAGTTCATCTTTAGTAATCTATAATCCCTTCTTTTAGCTTTATATTTGATTATTTTAATTCATCTATTTAGTTTATCTAGTTGTTATTGTTTTCATTGTTATTAATCACTACCACAAAAAGCGTGTTTTTTGGACGCGTTTTAGGTCTTTTTTCGACGTTAAAAAGCGTCAAAAAAAATTTCTCGCCGCTACTAAAAAGCGTCGAAAATCCGTGAGTCGAGAATTTTTAGGGACACAGAAAAGCGTCGAGAATTTCGACGCTTTTTTGTGTCTAAACTAATATACGAAGTGTCGGAAAATACTAATTTCGCACATTTTCCGAACTTTGTTTAGTTTTTTAGCGACGCTTTTACATGTCCACATACTCAAATTTAGCGACGCTTTTTTGTCTTGCGTTTATTCGTGTCAACCTATGGTATGGCGGGAACTTTTGAAATGTGAAAATATGCAAAATATGTAGACATCAAAAAGCGTCTAGAATTTTTTTAAGCTTTTTTTATTATTTTTTTTTCCTTTTATTAAGTTATTACCATCATACAGACATTATAGTTATTTAAATTTATCACAAATTAAATTAATAACATTTAAATTAAAGTAAACAAATATTCTTATAACTAGATCAGATAAAAAACAATCAATAATTAATCAACAATAATAAGAGTACGTAGTTGATTAAATTACCAAATTTTAAACGAAAATATCAACACAATTAATTATTTTTTTTAAAAAGTCATATTATAGTAGCTTGTCCCTAAATTAATACATCACTAATATAATTAAGACTAATAACCAAAATAGATAGATGATGGCGTTATAGATGATGTAGTTGCTTGTTTTGATGCTCAAGTGTCCCGGTCTATTCTGTTGTTGCACCTACATTGCCTTTTCCAATCTTAAAAAAAAAATACAAAGTATAAATTAGTACATTACACAATATAGGCTTATACACACACACATACACACACACACAAGCTTATAATTCCATCTTTCCATTACTAGCAATCACCACATATGAAGACAACTCAGCAATCGAACGAGGAGCACAACAACCAAATACCAGGGTACCACCAACAGGCTGTCCATGATTATCCACTACAATGCCGCATTATCAACTAGTAGAAGCACCTTCTTATCTTTTGACAACAATTTGAGACAAGGAATAGCAGCCGTGTCAGGCAGAACAACATGAATTGTAAATACCAGAATTACCAGATGGGTTTTTGTATCTGGTTGATCTGCAATCAAATACCAGAATTACCAAATACCAGGGTACCACCAACTCAGCAATTAATCTTCATGGATCTGCAATTGTTACAGCCTGTAAAAATATCAAATCAACATGTCCTGTAATACAGGACATCAAACTATAAGCATTATCAGTCCCTAAAATCAATTAATCATCAAGCCAAGCCATACTCTTCACACCATCAATACACGACATTTCCTTCAAAACCACGAACAACCCACGTTTCCCATCGACCTCTCGATCATGCTTACTACTGCCTGAATTCAGCTCAATGAACACCACTTTCTTCCCCATTGCCACCACAAAAAGGTAGGCACCATCATTATCCACTCCCCTAGAACTGAATTCAATTCCTTAACCCTCGCCCCATTCGATCTAACCCCGCCACCTATATTTTTCATAAGCCTCCCACCTACACTACTACCACTACTACTAACTCCCTATTAATTGATCCAATTAGAATTTTCAGATTCAGTACTACAAACCCTTCTAGCAACAACATTAACACCCTTCTAGCAACAACATTAACACCCTTTAGAATCCCTAACTTTTTCACGGGCTGTAACAATTGCAGATCAACTAGATTCAAAAACCCATCAGATAGAACCAAAATTTTACCAATTTGATTAACAACATGAATTGAATTAATACCGGAATGATTGATACTAACACATCAGATATAATTTGTGTGCATTCAGATGCATTTGAAGCACAATAATCCTATCAGATTATTAACAACTTAAAATAGTCATTTCATTCACAAATTGTAAATAAGCTTTAAGCATACAAGAACTCAAGAGTGAACTTGATTGTATGAAAAACCAAACACATATTGAAATCAGATTAGTCTGCTAAGCAACGACTTAAGTATAAATATATCAAATCTGATTTTCAGACCTGAAATTCAGTCCTGAACTTCAGATTTGAAATTCAGCTCTGAATTCAGATCTGAATTCAGCTCTGGAATTCAGCTCTTAAATTCAGCTCTGAATTCAGCTCTGAATTCATCTCTGAAATTCAGCTCTGAATTCATCTCTGAAATTCAGCTCCGAAATTCAGCTCTGAATTCAGCTCTGAAATTCAGCTCCGAATTCAGCTCTGAAATTCAGCTCCGAATTCAGTTCTAAAATTCATAGTTGGATTCAGTTCTGGATTTTAGCTTAGTATTCAGTTTAAGGGTAACGTAGATAATGAGCCGAGGCAAGCATGGGTTCCTCTGCTTACCTCAGTCCAAATCTTAGAAACTAAAGGCACTGCACTCGGCTTAAGCTATGGCAACAAGATGGAGCCAATATTAATTTAATTATAAACCCCCTAAAAAATTCATAAGCCATAAGCCTTTTGGTCCAAGATAACATTAATAATAGGTGAATACGCAGAGCTAAAATAAAAAAGAGAGGATGGTAAAGTACCTTTTTCTTCTTGACTATTCACGTTTCACGTCTAGTCGTCGAAAGCCACAATTATGGTTTCTTAATCTGCTTCCAAGAGGGAGAAAAACAAAAAAGTTCAAATTTTGACAAAATGCTCAGACGTGCAAACCAAAGAGGAAAAAAAAGCCATTAACTTTTTAGACTTTAGAGAATATATACCTATAGCAGTATACCACTATACAGAAACCTCTCTCTTCCTCCTTAAGCTCACATTTTGTAGCCAAAGCCTCCAAATCCCTGCATAGCATTAAAAACAATCAAATCTTTTTAAGAAAATTGTCTGTTATACCAGCCGACCAACGATAGAATGCGGCTAACAACTTGTTCTTTGACCTTAAAAAAATTTTGCTCCATTTGATCCAAGGAAAAAGTAGGGTCCAAAGCTCCTCAATAAAGAGAATTAAGCATTGTTGGAAAACAATTAAGCACACAATGGAAACAAGTAATTAAATGCCAACAGCTAGTTACCTATTTAAATTGCTTTAATAAGAAAAAAAAAGGTTGGCATTTACCTGAGTGATAGACTTGTTTGCAACAAGTTCATCTGTGTTACAAATATTAACTTGGACAGCATTTGACAATAGATCAGCTGTAATCTTTTGGACCTCTTTAGGCCATGTTGCATTATACATCAGTGTTTGGCGACGAGTGGGAACCTCCTTCACAATTTTTCTATTTTTTGGCTCAAAACCCATGACAAGCATCCGATCTGCCTCATCAAGCACCAAATAGGAGACCTGATTCAAGCTAATTCTCTATCTCTAGTATATCATTCAAACGACCAGGTGTAGCTACCACAATATCTACTCCTCTATCTAACTCCTTCAATTGTGGGACTTTGGGTGCCCCTCCATACAAACACTGTAGGAATAAATAAGGGAATAACTTTATGAGATGAAAAAATTCCATATATACTCGATTACAGCAGCATAAATAAGCAAGCACAAGGTATATGTATGGGAGTGAGATTGATATGGTTACCAGTTAGTACTTCTAAAAAGATACTCATGAAAAATTAACAATATAAAATGGCATACGACTCCAGCCAAAATTTACCACAACAATGACCCAGACCATTCTATCAAATTCATCCCAGAAATTTTACTCGAAATAGTAGTAATTCATCACTGGCATAAAACTTCATTATGTCTCACTTAGTATATCACAAACAGTCATCCCTAACTATAGAAAATCTTCCATATTAACCATTATGGAAACCACTAGAAGGAGATGTTTTAAGAAAATCATCTAGTCATAGTTTCAAACTTTCAATAGCATCTTTTGTAACTTAGAAAGATAGATCAATGGGGATTGGGGAAGCACTTGATTGCAAAGCTTCTAAAGCCTGGTCTGTTTAGTAGCCATAGAATGGTAGAAAGGAGAGACACAAACAAATAGAGGAAATCAGAAAGCAAAATAATGGTCAAGCATTAAGCTTGTCCTGGTGAAAGCAAAATGATGGTCAAGCATTAGGCATACAGGAGTTTGTAGAGGGGAAATAGAGGAAAACAATAAAAGAGGTATATAAAACAGTTAACATAATGAAGTAATAGGACAAACTACAGTCATAGGGGCACTTTTCCTACAGCCATGTCACTCTTTCCTACGAATGAAAGATCAATTTCGCTACCACATTCTATTATTTCAATAAAATTATTTGTGGATGCAAATTCTAGTCCACAAGTTTTATCAAGAGGCACCATATATCACACTAAATCATGTTTAAATGACCTAATCAGTCATTCAAGTACACTAGCACATTTATAGAGATGCAATGTAGCAAGCAATCAAGCAATATGGATAGTCTAAATATATAACAAATTGTCTAAGTATCTAACAAAATTAATCATTCCTTTCACAATAAAATTCCCAACCAGGTATAGCAGAGTATGGTTTTCTAAATGTAAATGCAGCAGACTTCATTGATGATGAATTTCTTTAGAGAGGATAATTAGTACTATTTTAGACTCAGCAAGCTTGTCTGTTCAATCCCGGGGTCTTCTTACTCTCTATTTAAGACTAAATTTCTTCTTCATCATAGGGGCCACTTCTGCTACAGTGTCATTTTGACTTCTTATTTTACTGAGCTCGTAAGATTAAACCTTAAGGTAATAAAGCTCAAGTGTGCCTAGCCATCTCAACTACACAATAAAATCAAGCAATTCATCACCTTGCTAAAATAGGAATGCTTACACATCTTTTATGAGAATTTTTAGATATTTAGCTTAGTATCTTAACTAATTTCGATGAAAATTGAAACTAACTTATAATTATTGTATGTGTATTTTAACCAAAGTAATACGATCAAAGCTGGTTCAGAATTCAGATAACAATGATAATAACTTAATGCAAACTTATAAAGCTTTGAAAGCTCATCGTTTTTTTTCTTCTGCAACATCAAATGATTGATTAGTCCAAGTTAATAATAAATAAATAAAATTGTGATAAAAGCTGGAATGGTGAAATGTATGCAACTTCTTTGTTTTCTCAGATATCTAAAACCAATTACTCACCACTTTAATACTCCATTTGTTCTATTATATACGGTATATCTCTAAATGTAAACAATCATGTAAAATTGTATTGTATTTTTATTCTACCCAATTGGTGAAATCCTATGAATTTGAAACCCAATTAACGCAACTTCTGAGTTCATAGCGTGACGCCCAACCCAGAAAATGAAAAAGGTATATTTGAGTAGTAAAACAAACCGAATGAAATTCTGCAACAACTGAGATTCTTAGTTAGACCAAAACCTGAAATAATTGAAGCGTAAGTAAGCTAAAACGCTCACTAAATCCCCTACACCCAACACGCCATACAGTCAAACCCTAGATTTAAATACAATGGCTTTCTACCACACAATAACTAAAAATTCAATGTAATTTCACAACAACTCAATATAACTTCTTTGTTTTCTAATCATGCATTCACAACAACAGGTTCAATAACATGCATAATCAAGATTTATGTTAATCATTCACGATATATCAAACGAAACTAACCGTGCATACAAGCCAATATTTTTGGTGGGAGTGACCAAAAACACGGTTACCTTCTCCGGATTAGACTACACGAAATCAATCAATAACATCAAAACCCATCAAGTAATATCCACAATTAACTACCAAATTCATAGAAAAAAAATTTAAAAAATTTTAAAAAAAAAATCACCATTGATAACAAATTCAACCCCCAAATTGTAAATTAGGGTTTAAAAGAAGTGAAGAGAGAGAAAGAAAACCTGAGTTTTAGCGCCGTAGATGAGATTAACAACATCAGAATGAGCTGGAGGGCGAGGAATCACTATTACGAATCCACTCCGAATTGACGATGCAGATTATAGTTGCCTGAAAATTCCAATAAAAAAGGGGAATAATAGAATGTCAGTAAAAATTGAAAACCCTAATTTTGAAATCGAAACCTCGAGCACCATGAGAAGAGGAGAGAAAATCCAGAAATTGAGGGATCGAAGAAGAGGATTTCGGTGACGAAGGAGTTTGTGTTGAGGTGCTGAGATGTAAGAGTTAGAGAGAGAGAGAGAGAGAGAGAGAGAGAGTACTTAGGGTATATTCGTGGGTATAAGCCGGTTTTTTACATTTGTTTTTTTTATTTTCTTTTTAATTTTCCTTGGGTTGCCTTGAGTCACGTGCAAATCATACAAATTTGTCGACGCTTTTTCTTGTCAATAACTGATTCGACACATAAAAGCGTCGAAAATAAGCGGGAATTTATTTTTACGTGGACACTCCATACACAGCGTCGAACCAATAGTGTCCAAAAACCAATGGATTTGTAGTATCTTCTCTAGGGTAATTTATTAGCTAGGGGATGGAGGTGGAAAATATTTGTTGATATTGGATGAATGATGATGGTTGGATTGAACTCATGCTAGAAATTGATGAAAGACATGATTTTTGATAGCATGAGATTATTGTGGCACTTTATTTGATGTTTTCAAGTTTAAATGCATGAAAGTGATTTGAACTAGATTAAGATCATCTCTATTTTAATGATTGCATGAGAATGAGTTATCAAAGTGGAGTTTTTATGGATTGCGCTTCTTTATTCTTTTGATTTGATTATAGCTAATAGGATGCATGAGAATGATTCTAATTAGTATAGACCTTTTTCATTGAGTTGCCTAGACTATTGCATGAGAATGAATTATTTAGGTAGAATCTTGTGTTCTTTTGCATGTTCATCATGATAACCATTATTGTTCCCCTCTTTCTAATCATGATTGACACCCTGTACCCCTAGCGTCGTTCTCTCTAGATTGTAATCATCTTTATCTTCGCTTGTTTGTAGTTTTAGTGCTTTTTATCCAAAAACCAACAATAACATTCCCCTTTTTACTCTTGCATTAGTGATATTGATGTTGGACAAGTGAGCTTCCTTAGTGGTTCGACCCTTTACATACCCCTATACTTGTATTAGGGTAGTTTAGGAACATAAATGATTAATTTGATTAGGGTAGTAGTTTAACGACCTATCTAACCCTCGATCATTATTACCAAGATTTTGAACGCAATCTCAATCAGACAGATCAAGATTTAAATAAAATTGTGTGTGGTAAAGAAGTATATCTAGAAAAGCTTGTAAATTTATATTTTAATCGTCCTGTCTATGAGTCATATCATGTATACCATAGAAAGGCTTATATTTTTTGCATGTTTAGCAAGCTTTTATTTGCAAACGGTAGAGTAGGGCATGCTTGTTTAGCGTCTGTGCTTGAACATGTTTAATCTGGAAGATCTCCCATGCCTACTTGCCTTGGAGAAACTTTGCGTGGTCTCGACGAAGCAAAATGTGACCAGAAAGCCATAAGGAAGGGCTCTCTAGTACTGTTGCAGGTAAAAACGCAATCGATTTCACTGCCATGACACGTGGGCTGGCATCGTGTCACTCTAATGTTTGCCGCGACACAGTACTGGCTGCCATGTAACAGTGCTCCTGTGCGCTTTTTTTTTGTTTTTTGTTTTTTTTTTTTGGTTGATGGAGCATTTGGAACTTTTCGAAGCCCCCAATGATATTGAAAAATATGGTCCCAATGATCTAGTCCTTAAGAAGATAAATTACTCTACAAACATGTCATATGACGATTGGAAGGTGTTCTTTGCAAAGAGAGAATTTTCCATTCGGTAGGTGGTTTCTTGGTAGAGGCTTACTAGGATGGTTGGGACAAATGATACTCCGTATTGTCGCGTTCCTAGTATTTCAAAGTTGACTTTTTATTGCCCTTCCCGATTGATACAACAATATGGACTTGAACAAGTAGTTCCACGCTATAATGATGGTCCTCGTGAAGTATCATTGCATGAAAGTAATGTTCACAAGTTTGATGTGAAGGGATCGAGTAACCAAGCTCCTCCTCCCTTTTCTAGTGCATACAAGGCATGGTTGAATCCTTGAAGTAAAAGGGATCGAGTCGGCTCGCGCAACTTTGATGTGAAGGGACGTCTTGGAAGTAAGAAGACACCTTCTAAAGATCGTCTAGGTCAGAGAACATAAGGAATTGAATTTAAGACACCTATAAGGCCTAAGAAGAAAAATTATATAAAAGGAAAGGGTAAATAAAAAATGGTTTATAGGGAGAGGCAACCCAAGAACTATAAGAAAGGTGAAAGGGGTGAGAGTTCAACTAGAGATGTGACAGTTCAGGCTACAAAAGACACACTTATGGTGAAAGCCGACCTAGTAGAGAAGAAGAATGAAGTTTCAAAAGTGAAGAAGGATTAGACCAATATTGCTTTGCTTATATGATTTAAATTTTAATTTTTAAATAAGGCGCATGATGCCAGTAATTGTAGTCACACTTATTTTAATAATAATAACATATTTACTTTTGCCTTAAATTAAAATTACAATGACTTTTTTTTTTAATCCGAGTCAAGAAGTCCGATGCAATGGAAGAATCGAACAAAAAAATTTAAAGAAAAATAAAAAATCCTGGAAAAATGTCGTGTTACTGAAAAATTCGCTGTGTCGAGGCAATTTCTGCCTTCACGCGGCATTTCTTGCCGTATCACGGCATAAGCTGCCGTGGCGCATTGGAGACTAGAGTGGCGCGACATTATTTTTGCTGCAATAATCTACCGTGCCACGGTGAAACATGGCATGTCGCGGTGGATGTTGACATGGTGCGGTGGCTGATGACGTGGCACGGTGGCCGCTACTGTTTGATTTTCTTGGTCGACTTCATCTAGTTGACTTTCCAACGGGATTCGTAGAGAAGGTATTTCGAGCTCTATTGGTTGTACAACTTCAAATCCATAGACCAAAGAGAAAGGGGTAGCCCCCGAGGATGTATGGATAGAAGTTCAATAACCCCAGAGAGAAAAATGTAGCTTGCTCGGCCAATCTTTGTAATTTTCCATCATCTTTTTTATGATAGTTTTAACATTCTTATTGGCCGATTCAACCGCACCATTTGTTTGTGGTCTATAGGGTGACGATCTATGATGTTTGTTATGGTATTTTTGTAATAATTTTGCGCACTCGGCTTGGAAATGCGTCCCATTATCACTGATAATTTTGTGCGGTACACCATAGCGGCATATGATGTTTTTTTCGATGAATTGAGCTACATGTTTTTATGCAAGTTTTGCATATGAAGCTGCATCGACCCATTTGGTTAAGTAGTCGATTGCTACAAGGATGAAATCATGTCCTCCTTGTCCTGGTGGTGTTATCTTCCAAATGATGTCAATTCTCCAAGTAGAGAAAGGTCGTGGAGAAGTATAAGTGTACAGAAGTGAAGGTGGAACGTGTTGCAAATTTGCGTAGACTTGACACTTCATACAACTTTTTACATATTCGTGACAGTCTCTCTCCATGGAAGTCCAATAATAACCTTGTCGTTGAATCTTTTGGACTAACATTTTAGCATTCATATGCATTCCGCATATTCCGGTGTGAAGGTTTTCCATGGTTCTGTTTGCTTCGGTCTTCACTATGCATAAGATATTTCTCCCTTGAGCGGTCCTTTTGTGGATTTCTCCCCTGATGAGCACATATTGTGAGGCCAAGAGCCTCAAAGCATAGCATGCCCTTTTATCAGTGTTGGGAGGGTATTCTCCCTACGTTACATAATTAAGGATATATGATACCATGGCTCTTCATCTTCTTCTTTTGATTCTAGTTCATCATTAGGTGCATGAACATAAGCCGACTCATATCTTATTTCTATAGTCAAGGGCATTCTAATTTTGTATGTTGAAATTCGCACCATTGATGGTAATTTAGCCAGCGCATCGGCAAACTAATTTTATTCTCTAGCCAACTACGTATATTCCACTTCATCTAGTTGCTCCGTGAGAGTTTTCAGATGAGCTTGATATGTAGTGAGACTTTCACTTCTAACTTTCCATCTTTTGGAGATCTGGTTGATGATCAGTGACGAGTCGTCGTAGATTCTGAGCTTCTTAATTCCAAGGGCCACAATTGTTTCTAATCCTAAGATGCATGCTTCATATTCTGCAGCATTGTTGGTGACATCAAAGTCGAGCTTCATGGAAATCGGGATGTGTTCTTTGTTGGGTGATACGAGCAAGACTCCTACACCACAACCCTTTTTGTTCTAAGCTCCATCGAAATAGAGCGTCCAGCTATCATCTTTGGTCATGAATAGATCTTTATCAGGGAAATCATACTCTTCTTCTTCTTTCTCAACTTCTTCTAGTGGGAAATCACCTAGGAATTCAGAAACCGCAGAACCTTTGATAGCCTTTTATGGTACAAATTTTAAGTTAAACTGAGCAAGGTTGACTATCCACCTCAATAATCTGCCATTGAGTGTTGCTTTTTCGAACAAATATTTGAGAGGATCTATCTTGGATACAACATGCACTGTATGAGTGAGCATGTAATGTCTTAATTTCTGTGCGGCCCACACGAGTGCGAGACACAACTTTTCTAGTGGCGTACAACTGGTTTAATAACCCTGATGCTTTTTATTCAAATAGTAGATTTTATTCTCCTTACTTTTGATATCATGTGCTAGTATTGGCCCCATCATTTCTCTTGTGACCGTATGGTAGAGTCGAAGAGGAAAGTCATGCATTGGTTGCGCTAGCACAGGTGGGTTTGCCAGGAATTCCTTGATCTTGTCGAAAGCGTTTTGGCAGTCATCATCCCATGTAAATGGAACGTTCTTCTTGAGCTTCTTGAATATAGGTTCACATATCGCGGTTAGCTTTTATATGAACCTACTTATGTACTGCAATCATCCGATAAAACCTCATATTTCTTTCTCGGTCTTGGGTGGTGGCATGGCCACGATTGCTTTGACTTTTGTGGGATCTATTTCGATTCCTCAAGAACTGATCACATAGCCAAGTAGAATGCCTGATGTAACTCTGAATGCATATTTTGCTGGGTTCAACCTCATGTTATACTTGCGGATTCTTTCAAAGAATTTGCAAAGTGCAATGATGTGGCCTAGCCGATCTTTTGATTTGACAACCATATCTTCAACATACACCTCAACCTCTTTTTGCATCATATCATGTAATAATTTTTTGGCAGCTCTTTGGTAGGTGGCACTCATGTTTTTCAACCCGAATGGAATTACCGTATAGCAATATGTACCCCATTGTGTGATGAATGTGGTTTTTTCCATGTTTTCCTTGGCCATCAGTACTTGATTATATCTAGCATATCCGTCCATGAATGATAGGAGTGCATGGTTTGTTGTGTTGTCGACTAGAATGTC